AGAAAAAAAAATGAGTAAATGTAATGATGTGTAAAAAGATAGACATTTATAGGGATACTCAGGCAAATAAATGTCACAAATATCAGACTGATCTTATGTACTCAAATCACGCTAAAATGACATTTGTAATTTCTGTATGAATTCTTTGCATTTTGAGTTTGAAGCGTAAATATATCTATATATGTTGAACGAAATAAAGACGCCGACAGAATCACCGAGTATTTTTATAACTAGTAAAACCCAAGAGGTAACAATAACAGATATTGTGGATATTGAATGATTGAAACAATAACAGATATTGTGGATATTTTTATTTTATGATTGAAACAAACTTAAGTAATCAAGTTCACGATGACAACTATTGTGAAAACTTGTCGCTTTAACCTGACCCACGTGGGTCAAGATTTTATACTTTATACGGAGAAAAACTTTCTTCCTTTGACTGTCTATTGCATTCATTTTGAGGACATTTACAGATTAATAAATGAAAAAAAAAAAAAAAAAAAAAAAAAACAGAACAAAGAAATGAAATTTTGCCTGTGTAGCTAAAGAAAGATAAAATCAATTACGATAACTATACTGTGTTCCTAGAATACTTTCGCGAAAACAATATTTCGCGTTTTTCTAAAGGATGTCGTTTTCGTGGCAATCATAGTGACCTTGAATTTCGTGAATATTAAGTAGCTGGGGTAAAGAGAATATATATTACTAATAACACAATTAGGTCTCTGTATTTGTTCATTGTATACATGCAAGACAAGACAGTATCAGTTAAGTATAGGTAAAAGTAATGAATTATTTATCATAGTACATGTATTTCTTAATGATATGATCATAATCTAAGCTACAAATGTTTTTTTTTTGATTTCTTACATGCATCTTTTTTCGCGGAAACAAACATTCGCGGAAATGTATTCAACGCGAAAAACGAAATAATTTCTAGAAAAACAGTATTGCCTTATCAATTTCAAGAGCAAAATCAAATGTCAGACACATCATAGATGAACTAAAGTGGAAAATAAACTACAAAATTAAATTGCATAGATTCTTCAGTAATGAATTAGACTTCAGAAAAAAACTTAACACAAATTCCATGATCAAAAGGGAAAATAAATCACGAACAAAATACAGTTAAAAAACTAGACTCTTGTTGTTGAAAAGGGCGACAAATATTTGAATGAAGATACAGCAGCTATGAACGTTGTTAAAAATTTAGAGATGACAAGAAATATAGTTATCTAAGATCTTAGAGTAAAGGTTACTTTTCCAAACTCCTAATTATCACAGGGAGATATCTTATTATTAAAATTTAGTTCAAATAGTAACATTAATATAGATGGTGATACGAAACTTTTCTTTCAGGAAAGAAGAAGACATAAACACTTTTTTTCAGAAATCATATATGTAGTAGATCTCTTAGTATAATAATAGTAAAACATGTATGTCAGATGTGATAATGAAAAAATATCGAACCTTTAACAGTGTATAGTTTTTTTATCGTACCAAAACCCAGCGTACACTTAAATACTTTGGCTTGTAAGCGTCTATGTATATAGGAGCACAAAGGTACTTGCTATGCAACTCACGTATTACTACGCTTATAGGATAAAGAAGAAAAAGAAATTAACTATATTAATATAAGCTTGCTTTAAGCGATTTTATTCACCGACACAAAATCAGTTGCCGTCAGTTTACCTTCAATAGATTTTTTAATTATGAATTTAAGTCTCTGTAATTTTGAAGAAATGTGTGTAGGTCCTACCTTCACATCTTCAAAACAAAATATGCAATTGTAATGGTAGATTTTTGAAATAATTATTAAATACACTATGACGTGTGTTTACACGAATAAAACCGCCATTTGTCAGTATCGCAAGATTTCACTTTGCTTAAAGGAGTATCACACCGCTATACGTTCGACTCCCTGGTACTGTTGCCATCGCATTGTCGTCATCGCACTGACGTAATGTCGCCATCACACTGTCGTATTGGCGCCATTGCACTGTCGTATTGTCGTTATCGCACTGTCGTATTGTCGTCATCGCACTATTGTATTGTCGCCATTGCACTATCGCATTGTCGTCATCTCACTGTTGCATTGTCGCCATTGAACTGTCGTGCTGTCGTCATCGCACTGTCGTATTGTCGCCATCGCACTGTCGCCTTGTCGCCATCGCACTATTGCATTGTCGTCATCGCACTGTCGCTTTGTCGTCCCCTGGATTATAAAGTATAACCACGTTGGCCCTAGGGGTATTCCGTAATTTTCGGATTATGCAAGCAATCGTACAGTGTGAAAACCTTAATGGTGGGAATTTCAGAGTCAGTATTTTCTTTACGAATATGTTCTTGTCAAATACACCTTCATTTTCTTGTACTTACACAATTATTCTTCAAAAAGTCAAGGGGGTTTGCACAAACACATCAAGTAAAATATATAAAACGTCGAAGTCGTTGCTTAAATTCGACAAAAAATCATAAATCATAGTAATAAACATTTCTTCTATGAGCGATCTTAACCTATATTTTTGTTAAAATTCGCGTTTTGCCGTGTATTTCTTGCGCTCCCTTTCGACCTTGAAATACCATTTTTTTCTATTGATACAAATGTATTTTTAATATTTTTCTTATTCTATCTAAGTTTCTTTTTTTTAACATAATAAAACGGTTTAAATGTGTTCCGTACAATTTTTCTGAATCGACCAGGAAGTAGCTTCACAAAATGGCGACGGGTGGCTTTAATGACGCTTTGGATGAAATTTCAGATTTTCAGTGTTTCACTTGCACAAACAAAGCGGCTGTGAAATATTGTATTGAATGTCAAGCTTTCTGTTGTCAAAATTGCGTTGGTACATACTCGCGATTTCCTGCTTTAAAATGTCATACGCCACTTGATCCGTTGGATGCTGAAGTACAGGGTTTGTCTATCACATTGTCAACGATTCCGACAGAGAGATGTGCTATTCACACTAACAACTTAGTTGACATGCATTGTAAAGATCACGATGAAGTGTGCTGTACAACATGCATCGCTTTTTAACACATGAAATAAAGTGCAAATTAAATCTGCCTTATTTTGGATATATTGCCCTTTGTTCATTTTTACACTTTGGATTTTGTTCGGGACATAACTCTAAAACTATAAAAGATATCAACATGGAACTTTGTAGGTAGATATATCTTATTGGGTAGAATAGCAGTGCAAAAATACCATAACTTTGCCTGGCCTTTATTTTGGAGTTATTGCCCTTTGTTCATTTTTACACTTTGAACTTTGTCCGGGACATAACTCTGAAACCATAAGAAATATCAACATGAAACTTGGTAGGTAGATTGGTATCATTAATTAAAAGTGCAGTGCAAAAGAACTTTACTTCTACCTTGCTTAATCAATGCTTGGGTCTATTGTCCTTTGTCCATTTTTAATCTTTGAACTTTGTCAGTGGCACTACAAGAGGTATACTTTTCTGTTTTTATTTTCCGATTATATACATTTACATTTATACATCTTAAATACAAATCAAACATTTTATACTTAATTCGTGATGATAAATATTTTTTGAAAAACTAAACATGCAAAACTGTAAAGCAACGAAGAAACTATATAGCAATAAAATGACTGTAAAGTACTGATTTCATGTGATGTTGTAGCTATTCGTGATTATAAATTCGTGATTATAAATTCGTGATTATAAATTATAATTAGTTAAATTGTTTTTTTTTTTTTTTTTTTTTTTTTTTTTTTTTTTTTTTTGTTTTCCGAATACATACATTTACATATATACATCCTAAATACAAAACAAACATTTAATATTTTACTCGGGACTATAAATTCTAAATAAAAAATTGAAGATGCAAAACTGTAAAGCAAGTAAGAAACTATATAGCAATAAAATGACTGTAAAGTACTGATTTCATGTGATGTTGTAGCTTACATAATGTTCAAAGCAGAATCACAAACACAAATCAAATCATTTTTATACAAATTAATTATTTACATGACAATCATACAATAAATATGTTAATTATGTGGTGCTTAAACTTTCTTATGTTATAATTAGTTTAATTGTTTTTTTTTTATTTTCCGAATACATACATTTACATATATACATCTTACATACAAATCAAACATTTTATACTTAATTCGTGATTATAAATATTTTTGAAAAACTAAACATGCAAAACTGTAAAGCAAGTAAGAAACTATATAGCAATAAAATGACTATAAAGTACTGATTTCATGTGATGTTGTAGCTTACATAATGTTCAAAGCAGAATCACAAACACAAATCAAAACATTTTTATACAAATTAATTTTTTACATGACAATCATACAATGAATATGTTAATTATGTGGCGCTTAATCGTTCTTATGTTATAATTAGTTAAAAAAAAATTTTGTTTTTTTTCCGAATACATACATTTACATATATACATCCTAAATACAAAACAAACATTTTATATTTTATTCGGGACTATAAATAGTAAATAAAAAAATGAAGATGCAAAACTGTAAAGCAAGTAAGAAACTATATAGCAATAAGTACTGATTTCATGTGATGTTGTAGCTTACATAATGTTCAAAGCAGAATCACAAACACAAATCTAAACATTTTTATACAAAATAATTATGTACATGACAATCATACAATAAATTTGTTAATTATGTGACGCTTAAACTTTCTTATGTTATAATCAGTTAAATTGTTTTTTTTCCCCAATACATACATTTAAATATATAAATCCTACATACAAATCAAACATTTTATATTTTATTCAGGACTATAAATACTTTGAAAATAAATGAAGATGCAAAACTGTAAAGCAAGTAAGAGACTAAATAGCAATAAAAGTTACCGAAAAATACTGATTTCATGTGATGTAGCTCCCAAAACATACAAAACACGCTGTAAATAACAGACCCTTCGAGTCAATCACTCAAATTGGTTTTTAATAAACTTATACCAGTATTACAATTTCTGTCACAGGTTTTATAAGTCTTATAATTTCCAGGCAGCACAAATTATCATGAGTGTTGTGAGAACTCCTGCTGTACCGTCCTGAATAGACGATTTGTTCGTAGGAATAAGATGTCTTTTGATTCGGCGACATGTTTTGTCATTAAACAAGTCGAATAAAGCAGATTGTTTTTCTTTATCTTTATTTGATCCTCCTGTCGTTTGACAGTAGGATCCAACAGTTATTTCGTAGTAGTTCTTGTGATAATTCATAGAAAAAATCGATTCTATGTTCGACTCACCGTTTACACAGCTTTTGTCTTCGTATCTTTCGCAAATCACGTAATGTGATTCGACATTCATTTCCTTCCCATAGTAAATTTCCAATTGATGATGAAAGCTACCAACATCCCTTGGCGGAGATTTACTTATAATATCTTGATAATGTACTACCCTATAACTATGAGGAACAAAAAAGTCATGATTTTTTGCGTATTCTTTATCGCCCGGGCGAGGCATACCAAATGTATACAGAGTAGTTTTATGTTTATAAATAAGCCCATCATAAAGAAGATCTGCAGATGTAATTGAAGCTAAAACTCCTCCAACTGAATGCCCAACTATTATAATTTTGTAAGTAGTATATTCTTTTAATACATCTGCTAATCCTTGAGAAACACAACTGTACAATCTTTTATTCGCTGTTCCAAAATAACTATGAATTTTCCCTCGGATGTTTGTGGGATGATAAGAATTAAAAGTTGTTAGATTTTCTCTCAGCATTTTCTCAGGATTACTTGTACCACGAAACGCAAGATATATCGTGCGTTTAAATTTGGAAACAGCTAACAACGCAAAGCATTCTTTATAATCAAAATGCATGTCGTTACATCTCATTCCAATCACTTCAACTAGCTGTAAATCTTGTGTCCGAAAATGTTTCCCCATGCAAGATGTTGGGTCATCCGAATAGGCAATTGCTGATAAAAGCAATGCGTCATAAGCTTCTTTTGCGTCAAAGTATTTAGTTTCGTCTCCGTCTTTAATGTTTGTGCCGCAATCTGATTGTTCTGTAATGCTGCATTTTGTTGATAAGGAATTATTGCTGCAAACAAAACACTGATCATATCCAGACTCTAGTTGATGACACGACCGGGTGTCCTCACACCATCTGCATGACCCGATCCAAGAGTCCTCACTCGCACAGGATTTGCAAGTGTTATGATCATTACAGTCGGCTTGAGTTGTATAGAAACTCATTTGCCATAACATTAAAACAAGAAATAACTTCATTTTGAATTTAACAATTTTTTCTTAACAGCCCAATTCTTTATAAGGAACAGACTAATACGGTTTTGTTAAACTGCTCGAACGTGTATATTTATATACAAGTATCACGTGGTTGCTTTCATGTTTTATGAGGGATGATCAGAAAGTACATAGACATTATGTTGAAGATGAAATCTTATTCCCATTGAAGATTTAGAATTGTTGCAATATAGTATTAAGTATGCGACTCCTGCATGTTGCATACATTCGCCAATCATTCATTAATTGCAAGACATTATCTTCATTTTCATCCATTGAAAATAACACCACATAATCATGGGATTCTTTTTTAGATATATAAAAGCTTAAAGAAGTGGAAGTTGCTATTGTGAATGCTTTAAGGATTCTGAAAAACGTCCACATTCCCAAATGACAATTTCAAAGAAAGTTTTATCTTATCCGAAATCATAAGTATCCCTAGCCCTTTGATATGAAACAGTTGCTTATAATTTTCCAGCAAATACAAAATTAAGGAAATGTTTTTGAAACCTCGAAAATGCTTTGAGGTGTTCGTGGTTTATAAAATATTCCTATATCATTACAACTTTGGAGAGTTCTCGTTGGTAAATATGCATATACATCTTTGCTGCGATGGTGACTTCGGCTACTCCCCTTAAAACGTTTGATACAATGCTGCGAAACGCGTTTTTGTCTCCTAGATTTGATTCCATATCAATCTTTCCTCACAGCTTAGTTTTGAATATTCAACTAATAACCTTACTTACATTGGTACTAAATAATCCAAATAATTAATGTTATGGTATGTAATCATTTTATCATGGAAATAAAATATATGTTGGAAATAAAACTGCCACATAATCATAACACTTGTGACACAAACCATACATGTCTTGATTTATTAATTTTTGCGTAATATGTTCTTTCTATAATTTAATAATAAATATAATTTGCAAAAGCTTGAGAGTACTCTGACGTCAAATACAGAATTGACAACATTTTCCTTTTGTATTTTTTGATGGTCCCTCGCATTACGTGTTCTACGAGTGGTTTATTCATTTACGCAGTTAAATCACCGGGGAATTTGGTTACTTTCATATCGAGTTGTTATCATTTCTAACCTAATCATTTTATTGTTAACAGGATACAACAATAATATTTGAATATTGTATTGCATATAACATAATATAAAGTTTAGCTGCTTATTCCGGTTCTACATATATTGAGGTGCTGTGTATTCGTCCAGAATGTAGTATTGTACTCCACCAGTAAATGATAATCTCATAATAATCTCATAATAATAATAATAATAATAATAATATACATTTGTAATTAATACGATTTGATTCAAAAATCAACACTTCTTTTAAGGTTAACTAATCATAAACTAACGCAATTTAATATTTTAAAAATGTATACACCTTCTTATTGCATATAACAGCAATGTTTTCTATGTTCATTCATAATCGAATCAAGATAAAAGGTTCAAGTGTCATAGGGGCTACTTTATGGTCAAGCACTGCGCATGTGAGTTTGCTTTTGTTTCAATATTTGAATGACATTACGTAGTCTATTGTCGGGTTTGGTTGCATAGTACAAGAAGTATGTTTTTTATAATTATTTTTATTAATTACATGTATTTATAACTATTTAGGGCGGAAAACACACAATTTGTTGATTCAAGTAATTAGTTGATCAAAAGTATAAATATAATTGTGTTCGATGTGAAAATGGAATTTTAAATACAAGCATGTTTATAAATAATCAGTATGTCAAATTTGAAGAATAAAGACATAATAATTATGTCTTATATGAAAAATAACGAAATTGTGATTTTGGTGAAATTTAGATACATTTTAAATGTTGTTTGTTACTGAAGAATAGTATCACATGAATAGAGTCTAATTCATAGATTAAATGAAAATACTGAAGTATACTTATATCAAAACTGAAATGAACATTACTTGAATGAATCATATATAAATAACGAAATACATTATAAAGATATGATTACAAAAATCAATGAAATGTGCATAAAACTGTATTTGATCTTTAGAAATTTAGCACATTCATGGTAAATTTTGTAATTGTTATCATTTTATTTTTGTTTATAATAGTATTTAAAACATAGACCTGAAAGTGGTTCATCATTTTACATTGAATAGAGTCTAATTCATAGATTAAATGAAAATACTGAAGTATACTTATATCAAAACTGAAATGAACATTACTTGAATGAATCATATATAAATAACGAAATACATTATAAAGATATGATAAAAAAAATCAATGAAATGTGCATAAAACTGTATTTGATCTTTAGAAATTTAGCACATTCATGGTAAATTTTGTAATTGTTATCATTTTTATTTTTGTTTATAATAGTATTTAAAACATAGACCTGAAAGTGGTTCATCATTTTACATTGTGAGCTTTGTTGTTATATGAATTTGGCCTACTTTCATCTTGGACCCACGGAATGAAAATAAACATGGCTGACAGAGCTGAATCACCTTATCTCATAAACATGTGACACAGGAAAGTTAGTCTACATTTCAATCACCTGTTTGGGGTATTACCATTTTCTCTATTTATAGCAGTGAAACTACGACGCACAAACGTGTTTTAAATAAGACTGCTTATCTCATCCGGCAAAAATCACTTAGTCCGAGCGCTTTTTAGTTTGAAAAAAGTATCAAATTTCAAATTCTTATCTTTTTTACGTATAGGTTATCATTTTCAAAATTAAATTGGTTAAAAGCGGCGATATAGACCATTTGATTCATATCCTACCAAACACCTTATTTAGATTGTTGCTCTAAAGATATAGTTTACATTTGATGACCTTCTTGGCTTCATCTTCAACTCAAAAGAGAAAACAAATATAGTAAAGCCAAAATGTTGAGAATAAGATAATCCATGGGTGGGTAACGTACCAAATTTATGCTGCTTGAGTCAGTGCTTTGGGCGTGAACGGTAACATGCACTTTCAAGTACCGTCCATAAACAGGCTGAATCAAACCAAGCCAAACCAAACCAAGCCTGCAACGTGTTGTCGTTTTGGGCGCTCTTGAGGAATTATGTTTATCTTATTGAAGAGTAAGTATTAAGCTAGTTATAGAGCTTAACCCTTGAAGTTGCATGCCTCCTGATAAGCCAAAATATTTTAAGAGAATCCAATGTTCTAAGATTTTTAGAAAAGTAAAAAGATTCAATATTCAATCATTTCAAAAGAATCTGATTAAAAGGTATCACAGCTATAAGTACATGTGAGAACACGTCGGCGGCCCATCATTGTTGTGAAGTCGAATCACGCCAGAAA